CGATTCACTGCTTTCATTGCCATCATTTGCTATTCTTTGCACGCTTGCCTTATTCTTTGCGCAAACGCCCACCGTTTTTATTGATTTCGGGTCGCTTTTAAAACATTCTATGTCATTTTAAAGAACCTGTACTGTCCCTACCGAGAAATCAAATGGTCGATGACCGTTTTTTGCCAGTCTTTAAAGTCTTTTGAGGAATTGTTTAAAACACCTATTGGGGCACAAGCTCAAGTCGTTTTAATGAATAGTACGTGTTTTAAAGAATCCGAAGAGCGTTTAAAGATTAATAATCACTTTTATTCAAAACCTCAAAGAATAATCCAATATGGACTTTTCACTGGGAGCTTCACTGGCAAGCAGCTCGAGGATGGTCGCAAACGGTTCAATATTAATCTGATATCTGTGAGGGGTGCATAAAGAGCTATATTTGTATGTTAAACCGGTACTAAACGCCGTGCGAGATTGCTAGACAATCAACAGCCATCACGCAGACGAAGGACGAGATGCAGGGTCGATTCCCTCCGGATTCATGTTATGACACTACAGGCAAATGTGCTAATTCTGTGCCCGAGAATAAGCAGGAAAATGACCTGGAAAGTAAACATCTTCCTACAGATTTTCGGGCTAGGAATAAGCACGCGGAAAGTTATCATTTTCTGGTGCGCAAAGAGGCCCAAAAAGGCAGGTTGAAGCAGGAGTTGAATCTCCGCCAGCGCTTAATGTTTATAAATGGAAGGTAAGCTTGATTTTGTTGCCTGAAAATTCACTGGAACATGAAACTTTTTCGGCCTCTATTGGTCAAAGGGAAATATGGAGGAAAATATTTACTTTCCAGTGCATTTTCCTCCTTATTTTCGGGTCCAGAATTATCGCATTTGCCTGTAGTGTGATGCGAAGGTGCGCGGCTGCTGGCCTGGGGGAATGCTCCTTGCGTCCTGGACCTTTGCTTTGACGCTGTCAACGGCATCCAAAGACCTCATTTGTCTTGCCGGTGAGAGTCTTGACAAAGATCTGCATGCCGCCGCGCAGACAGAGAGAGGCGCATTAGTATTGAGATTGTCAGGAGCCGCTGAGCCCGCCCGACAGCCCAGTGCAGCCTGACCCCAGTACCGCCCTGAACCCATCTGAGCGCTTTGAACGTTGGGGATCAGCAGCCGCGGAGCTCGCCCGACAGCCCAGTGCGGCTTGCTCCCAGTACCGTCCTGGGCCCATTCGAGCAATCTGGTCTCTAAGTGGTTAGCATCGCCCACTAATCAACACAGCATTACGACTACCACAATGCTATACGACCGCCTAATCGCAGTGTGTAGTCGACCGCTGGCACCATCATAAGCCTATGCGAGACAATCTCACCATTTTTATAGGCTAACATCAGTATACGTACCGCTGGGAGGAGCGCCTGAGTTTACTCAACACCTGTCCGCCCTGCCGCCGGGACTTCTGGGGGCCCAACCTGATGGACTTGACTACCAGCGTAACGAGGGCTCGAGTCCGCCCGACATTTCAGGGCGGCTGCCCACCGGTAGTGTCGCAGGCTTGTTCGAGAGTTCCGAAGATACACTAATCCCGCTCCACTATTGCATGGCGTTGATCATAAGAACAATATGAGCCCATTCGATCAAACCGCGCGGTTGAACACCGGTATGGTTGTGGGCTCGCCCGAGAGGTGCACTGGCTTGTTCAGGCGTTTGTCGCAATCGTCGCCTTGCCCCACTCGACCGTTACGCCGATCGGCCGTCGGTATGGTCGCAGGCTCGCCCGAGCTTTTCAGAGGCGCTGCAGCGACTAGCTGCGGTTGGTCTGTTATCACTCTGAGCTCATCCGAGCAGCGAGAGAGAGAGAGAGAGAGATTTCTATATTTATACCCCGCGTCAAACGCGTGGTCACGTTCAGTAGCGGCTATGTGTCGGTGTAAGGTAATCTAGGTGTGGTTTGTAGGTGTATCGATGTAGGAGGTGTAGTGTTGGTGTAGTGTTTCAAATATGTGCGTCTATTAAAGGGTAATAATGTATTGGCGTTCTGACCATGCTAAATGTCTAGCTGATTAGAGCGGGAGATATGTACGAATAGGAATAATAGCCGAGGCGAGGAATTATAGAATGAAAAGGAGAAATAGGGAGAAAGGGAGACACTGTGAATGTGGGCTCATCCGAGCAGCAACAAGACGGGGAAACCCTGGATCAGAACGAATGTTTTGTGCAGCCAATAATTGTGAACCACAGTAGATCTTTTGCAGTAGGTAATGCAGATGATCAGCCACGGATTCGTACAGAGTGAAACACGGAACACATTGCGATACTCAAAAACATTCAAATCAACATCAACTTGTCCACTAAGTGATTGACCCGCGAGGCGCTGACACCGAATTCATCCGCCTCAAACATCATGAATTTTCGTAGTCTCATGCGACCCAAGCGCGTCCTGTTACGGATTGTCCTCAGCGAGTCGAGGCCCAAACATTCTATGGGCTCCGCAAGATATCGAAAATCGTCGCCTGCGACGTCTGCAAGGTAGCATTCGAGTGGCCTCGATGTAGGGTGTACGGGATTCAAGAGGGCGAGCCGATGGACGGACCACAAATGTGCACCTGGGATGTAGAGGCGGTGGCGTTCGTCTGCACGTCGGAGCTGGCGCCCGAGGCCCCAGTGGTCCCCTTGCCGAGTTTTGTCAAGATGTGCCTCCGCAACATGCTCGCCATAGGTGCTCGCGCACGAGAATCAGCTTCAAGGCAGTGAGAGAATGATCTGTATAACAAACTGCAATATAACTACGTACACGGTGCGGTCTTTCTCGGGAGAACTGTTCTGGTCCAGTGCCGGGCAGCACACTATGTGCACGTCCCGGGTTCTGTCGATGCCGTTCATTGAAGTGACGTCGGACGTAGACGTCGACGGGCCAGCCGCATTCATAGCGAGAGATAAATCCCATATTGGGGGCTCTTTGTGCTTGGTTAGTGTTGGGGGGGGGGGTGCGATTGATGAATAGAAAGAAGAAGAAAAAAATGACTAACCTTTTCCTTGAATTCGGCCAGCTTGCCTGCATCTTGTTCGTCATATCTCTTATCGACCTCGAGGGTCTTTCGTAGAATGGGAAGATATCGTTTCTGGAAGAGGTTTAGTGGGTAAGCTAGCCGTGTTCACGACATACCTTTGTCATCCACCATTCGGCATCCGTTAGACCCAGTCTCGCGACCATGCCCTCGCAATTCATAGACGCGATGAACGCGAGCTCCTTTGCGCCAGGCTTACAATAACGCGGATTGGGATGGGGTATACCGCTGGGTTTATTGTGGCGGGGCATCGGGGGATTGCGAGTTGAAAGATGTCGGCAGCGACGTCGCTTTATGGGTGCTGTAGTGTAAGAGATCGCGAAAGGCGACCAAACGTAGTGAACGACAAGACACGCCGTGAGTGTGCCCAAAATGGATAGGGGCCAACGTAGTCCGGCGACTCGTCTACTCACGGTGTGGCGAGGTTAGCAAAACTGGTGTCGCAGTCACTGCGTCTTCGCCCGAGCTAGCCAGAGGCCGACGTAGCCGCGTCCATCCCAGGTTTCATATAGTTTGCGATATGTCGGCGAAAAGCGTTCGGGCCATGAAGAACAAAACGTCTTAGATGAAGCCCGGAGCCGTCGAGAATTGGGCGGGATCTAGCTACGGATAGGACGCGGAGCAGCGGTGTAAGAAGCCATGGACGTACGGGCATAGACAGCGTCGACCGCCTGATAGCCCGACTCGATTACGACTAAGTAGTACCTAGCCGCCTCTTAACATACCTTGAACGCGTTTTCCGCGGGATACAAATATAGATTCTCTCTCTCTCTCGACCGCCTGATTGATAGGGTAGGGGTGAGCGAGAGGATGAGATCTAGAGCTGAAGGAGGCGTGGACGTACACGAAAGGACATCGGAGAGATCGTTAACCGGGACGCGGACGAGCTAATATCAGCGACGAAGAGCGAAGACGAGGAGAAACGCCCTAGCGTCGGCGAGGGAGGCTGCGCTGACCTCGGGGACGATGAACGGGGTAGCGAGATGGTGGCTAGATGGTCGGAAAGAAAGGGCGTGAGAACCCGCACGACACTTCAATATTTCCCGTATAGTTAACCTTCTTACCGTTATTCGTTTGGTCGTGTTTGGATTCACTGTTGGACGCTGAAAGGGGTCTGATCCGTCCGAGTTTTGCTAGAAACCCCCTATTGAATGTAGTGATGTGTAAGGCATGAATGTATGTGGGTTGATAATCCGTCTTGGCAGTTCATTCAATGTTGGCTCAGTGTTGGCTCCCATGTTCACAGACCTCCTCCTTGGGAAACCCTTGGCGGCGTGTTCAACTCAGCTAGGCCCTCCTTTGGTTTCCTGTTAAATGCCATTACCCCTGGGTTTATGTTTGTCAGTCGTCCTAATCCGGCTCTGCATTTAATCCGTCGAAAGCTCTTTTCCTAAACATCAGCCAAGAACCCTCTGTCACTGGGGGCAATTGCCCATGTTTTCGTAGAAAACATTCAAAATGTTTTGAGGGTCACCTTCCTAATTGGGTATGTCACTTTCCAGATTTGGCATTTTTAGCAAAAAGTTTTAAATGTTTTTGACATGTTTCCCCTGGAAACATCGTCTAATGCCCCCAGTGTGTGAAGCCCCTGGCATTTTCCTGTATAAAAGTGGGCTGATCATCGCCCAAATCCGCCATTCGTTCGTCTGCTCCTGCAACTACCCTCCCCCACTCATCATATCCCCTGTGTGCCGCTCCTCCCAGCAACATGTGGATGCTGTAGTTCGTAGTTGATTGATATTGAGCCCTGAGTTTGTGCAGAATGCTATTCCAGCCACGATGCCTGCCCCACTGCTAAGCCACACGCCCACCGCGTCAGTTTCGTCATTGCTGGATGTGTTTTACGACCCCTTTAATACCTATTCTGTAGAAAATCGAGGTCGCACGGGCTCGCGACGACGCACAGCGCGTTTGTCCTGGGCGAGGGGAGGGTGCCCGGGCCGAAGGGTAATCGCGTGAAGAATTTGACTATCCACGACAGGAATATATACTACGAAAACTCGCATATAATAAGATAAAATATGACACGTCATGATGCGAGCGATAATGAACACAGAATTCCAACATATTCCCTATAGTGTAATACTGAATGAAATGCCCCTCTGCACACCATTTTCAATTGTGCGCCCACCAATTTTGCAGACATATTTATGCAAATAAAGAAGTTGATTTGTTAGATGTGCATTATATTATTAATGCCTGAGCCGCAGTTGCTACCATACTGGTGAAGCTAGCATATCAAGATTTTCATGCCGCTTCATGCGACTCGTCTTAGCAAAATAAGGTTGGTTCCGCCGCGTGTTTTCAACCCGTGCGGCTTCTCCGAGGAGCAGTCGAACACGCGACACGCTAGGTGGGTTCAAGAACAAAGGCAATCCCAGCTTCTGATCGGCTTGAACAGCCCGGGGAAAGGAATGTAGAAATTCGAGGTCTCACGGGCTCGTGACGACGCACAGCGCGTTAAGCGTGAAGATTTTGACTATCTACGACAGGAATATATATGTAGTACGAACTCGGAAGCAGTATTGATAAAAACAACACGTCATGATGCGAGCGATGTCGTATGCATAGTTGCAACTGGAGATGCTATAGAATCATAAAGAGTCTAACGAAGTCCGGATCCAACGAAAAGAATGTTTACCGGATCGTTTGAACAGCGTGCATACGATATCATGGCTGCGTCTGGCTCGGCCACTGACAAATATCCCCATCTATAGTTAATGGGTACCTTTCCGAACGCGTATGATATATAAGTTTTAGCGTGCGTTCGCGTACATAGATTTCACACGCACTTGGCTGCCATCATCACCAGCACAGTCACTTACTCGTTGACATGGGACATTGTGCTTAGTTTATCCTTACGTCGCTATTGACCTGAATATGCACTGTTGTTCCAAATAATGAGCTCCCCACCCTTGCGGTATCCATGCCGGAGAGTAATAGATCTCAACCTTCCTTTGTTTGTCCTTTTTATGTATTGTTGTACCGTCTATTCCGTTTTACCATAATATTGGTATGAATTCCGTGCTTCCTAACTCACTGTCTTGCCCTGGATTGTTGTAGCGCGAATCCCAGCCTTCGTTGTCGGAGTGCCGGAGAGCAGCGGAGACAATCGCCAGATACCTAGATCTTCCGTCGAATCTAGGAATATGATATAATACAAGGGGTCAGTCAAAGAAGAGAGCCCAGAAAAATTTCCGGTGATTCTCGGCCACCATCGACTACTCATCTAGTCAATAGCCAGCGAGAAAAATAGAGGCGAGTCCGAAACAACACTCAGCATAGCACTGTTGAGTAAGCCCAACTTTATTGCTATGCTTTTCTTTGTTTGACATTAATCTGCCAGACTTGCTTGCGACACTTCTACTTCGTGCTGGGCAAACACTCCCGTGCCCTCGGTCAACATTAATACCGGTGTAGGCGTCCTTGCCATTGCTAGTGGGGCGACGTCTTTTGAAATGATATGGTTCGACTTATTGTACTTGGCGTTGAATGTGGCACCTTCCGTGGCTGTTGGCGGAGGTCCTGCGAACACAGGTAATGCGGGGCGACGATGTGCCCTCATTGAAGCGGAAGTGATTCTCTGTGTACGCCAGTAACAAACGATACGAGTCATCTCCGTAAGCAACAAGATAGACACTCACAGACACGTTTAGCAACCGCGGGGCCCTGGCTCGCCGCTGATGCAGTTCCGAGCCACGCTGTGCATCACATTGTCCTTACTGGCCATGACAAAGGTGCAACCACAGGACTCATATTCTATACAGACCTCTTCCGCGAGCATTATGATGCAATTTATGGATTATGTTTGTCTAACGGCCATCGCTCAATGTTTGTGTTGGAGAACAAACTGGTGACCATTAACTTTGCGCTGATGTTGTCAACCCCTCCCTACCTCGACAGACTGTATCACACCCTCGATGCGGCCTGATAAGTATCTCGCACTGCCTGTTCTTTTGTCTGTTCTCATCCGCTGTCGACACAGGGAATGTGGTATTGGGTATTTTTAGTGTTGTAAGTACTTCTCTGCCAATGTTGCCGTCTGCTTCTGTCTTTATATGTACTGGTGTATGTTCAATGTCCCCCAATGCGTTCTACCAAAATGGTATCATGCGTGTTAATTCTACTGTGCTCCGTTTCGTCAATGCCATTATGTCTGTAGCGACCCAGTTTTGCCGTCGAAGTGCCAGAGCGCTCCGCGCGATGGCGTGTCTTGTAGTAAACTAGGTGTGTGACCCGTGGACAGCCACAGGACAAAAAGCGGTTCTGTAAACATAATTGTGCTATTATACTCGGCTGTCGAGTAAACTTTCAGTGGGATGATTTATAATGCCCAGTTAAATCATTTTGCGTGCAAGCACTTCATGATTTATTCACCCCCCCATGCATCTATCAGCTTGACCGTACAGCTCCCAGATCACCCGTACATCTCTCCATTCACCCATACCGCCGCGGACCGGGCTTCCGACCATACGTGAAGTTACTTGCAAGCAGCTCCCCCTGGGTCCAAACCTGCCATAGCATGAGGGCGTCGAGCAAGCGTCGAGGACGCTCGCTGCGCGACATCCACACCGAGGATCAACTCTGCCAAATTGTCAGTAATGGAATCCCATCAAAACGATTTTCGCAGTCGGCAACGGCAGCGTTTGGCAAATGAAACAACATGGTCATTCATGCAAAGTAAGTACTAGTACAAGTAATCGAAAACATGGAACAGCATACGGAGGAAAAGACAAGTTGGAATTCAACAAGTCCAAAAATCTGTCGTACAATCGCGATTGAGCAGGGACTCGTTCGAGGAATACATCGATGAAAGAAAAGAAAAATACGTTGGGGACATGATCGCGTTGACAGCTACTTCTTGGAATAGCGGGAAGGCTGCATGCGCAACTGCTCCTGACTGAGCGCCCGGGTATTAGATAACACCGTCTTACTCTTAGGTTCACCTGCGTGACGGCCTCGACCAAATCTGAGGGGAACATTGCGTCCGTCTCTCAAGCCCCTCGTCGCGGAGGGAACCAGATTGTACGGCCCAGCCTGCGGCGGACCAGCCCGCGACAATCCAGCTTTCGGGCCGGAACGAGACGATGACGCGTCACGAGAGCTCGACTCAGCTGTGCTCGGTTGCGCGCTGTCACCGTTATCTACACGAATATGTATTGAGTGACACAAGACGGAAGAACAAAGTTGATAAATTGATGACTTACCACTGCCGGACTCGCCTGCACTGGCGAGCGACGAGTCAAACGCGGGGAACGGGTTTGAAGTCAACGAATCGGACAGACTCCGCGCGACACTATTCATCCGGAAGGAGGGCGACAACTGGGCGTCGTCAGCGTCCCGCACGGAATCGTCATTGCTCGCCCTGACTTTTCCAGCCTTGATCTCGCGCCGGCGGTTAAGGTACCGAGGAGTGGCTTCCTCATCGTCAGCCGAAGACTTATTCGCGTCGACCGCGGGCCGTGGAGGCGTCATGGGGTAGTCTTCGCCAAATGGGCTTTCTATGTGGTCTAACTGGGTTTCCGGAGGCGTCGAAGGCTGCTCCTGGCCCGTCGGTTCAAACGCGGTTGACGGAGACGTCGAAGACTGTTGCTTGTCGGGCAGCCCTTCCATCTTGTCGAACTCAAATCGCTGAGGCATTTCAGGGCTTTGCTCAGTGTCTTGGCGGTCTACGTCTGCCTGCGGGGCAGGCTCGATCGGCTGAGAAGCGGGCTGGTCCGTGGTGGCCGGTATATCCTCGGATGGAGGAATCGGGGTCGCGATCGCCGGCGGAGCGGGAGACGGGATTGCTGGGGCCTCTGGGTCAGGTCCGACATTTTCGCCGCGATTGTCGTCGCCTTCCGACTCGGCGGGCGTGTTGGACTGAGATTCGCCCGTCGCAGCGGCGGAGGAAGATGTGGTGTTGGCGGCCGAGGACGATGCAGTGGTGGACTGGGAGAAGGTCCCTTGTCGTCTCCTCTTCACGCGCGGCGAGGCCTTTCCAGCGCCTGCAAGCTTTCCAGCGCTCATCGCCTGGGGCTTATTCGACTTCTTCGCACGGGTTTGTGTCTTGTTTGATTTTGACGCCGATGCCGAATGCTGGGCCCGTGAGCTAGTCGCCGTGATAGTGGCAGCACGCTTCCGTTTGTCGCCGACCGCGTCAGCGTCCCCCCCGTCGGTGACCTCGTCGGTGATCTCGGCCCCATTGATATCCTCGTCGTCAGGCCCGGTGAGGAACATTTTTTCTGCAAGTATAATATGAGCAAAGGAAAAAGACAGAAGAAGAGTGCTTACTAATGGCGGGATCAGCATTAGTGAAAGCGTCGTGAATTCGCGCTTTGTTGAACGAGATCGTATTCAAGAATACATCCGGCGTGTCGAGAGCGACGAGTCGATAGAAGACAACATGCTTTGATTGGGGATATCGCCAGATGCGACCACGAAGCTGCTCGTCTTCGAGCCCGGACCACAACGTATCCTAACGAGTGTGCGCACAGAACATGAGTTCGATACAGCGGGATGAAACGTATCACAGACGCACCATGATGATCATCAGGTTGGCGCAGTCGATGTTGAGTCCGACAGCCCCAGCCGACGACAGAATCAGGACTCGTGGCCCTTCGCGCCCGGACTCCCTGAACTCCCTGAGTATTGCCGCACGCTGAGGAGGTTGGTGGCCGCCATGCAGCACTAGTGTTTTGATGCCGTAAAGAGCGAGTACCTAAACAAAGATGTTTCAGTAGATGACATATCCACGACACACTTGTGGAGACTTACAGCCTGAATGGCGAAGTTCGAAGAAGGAAAGTACGAAAACACGACGATCTTGTCCGGCTTCGACGGCGAGGCGCCCCCCAGATTGACCGGTCCATCCTCGTCAGTTGGCGAATTGCAGAACTGTATCTCCGACGCCTCCCTCAGTGTCCCATCAGCGCGACGTGCGGGCTGGTCGTTGGCTTGCTCGTTGGCTTGAGAGCCGCCAATGAGAGGGGGATGCTCGGTCGACAGTGGTGGGCTCTGCGTGCGAATGACCGCGGATGTGGCGTCCGTCGGTGGCGGGCTCGACATACGAATGTCCTCCGGTACGACGACGCTGCGGCGGTCGGTGCCATGCACGAGAGGTTCACGACCGTCGTCTTCGAGGTGGTAGTCGGCGATTTTCGCGAGAATGTCGAGTTTGACCGACTTTAGAAAAGTCGGTGTCTGCGGTTCGTTGTCTTCGGCCATAGAGTCGTCGATGTCGGAGTCGGAGTCGCTGACGTCGCAAGGGTCGTCGTCGATGTCGACCGCAGATAACCACTCCTCGCGCGTCTCGGGTGGGTTCCACTCGCCTGAATTCATTGCGGGATGGAGGAGAGAGCGCCGAAACTCGAGGTAAAAGTTCTACGAAAAATGCGTCAGCATGATGGTTTGCCATTGGGGACGGGCGATGTTGGAAGCCGCGAGCCTGGAGCTGAACCGCTCGATCACGGTGAAGCAAGCGCAGGACGGGGGCGTCCCTCGACGCCCGCCACGCGAGCGTCCGTGACTTAGCTTGTGCTCGGGCACGTACTGTCGCAATACACAACGATACGAAGACAAGACAGATACAAATGATGATTACTTACGTGACTGACGTTGCCTGCCTTTGTCTTCTTCTGCGCAAGAGCATTTGCAATCCGCCGGACGTTCTTACGTTCGTGCCTATACATTTGAAGTTCGATGATCTGGGTGGTATACGGTTCAAGTCCCGATATCGGGTTGCCGTTGTTGTCGAGCGAATCGATTGTGCGGCGGATGACGAAAGGTTGAAACCATCGGCGTGCTTCCCGGACCCACTTCATCATCGTCGGAAGGTACAGGTTGACGGCGTCATCTTCACGGGTGGGGCCACCAGCGAGGAAAGTGGCAGTGGTGTTCTTATTCTCCTTCTTGAGGCGTTTCCCTTCCTCGCGGTTCGCGCGTTGGAGCTCCTTGTTCATCTCGACGAAAGTCCCTTCGGAAGCGGCGTCTGCAATTTTCATGATTGCCGCTATATACCATAAGTCCTATAAAATAATTAGCCAGCAGCCCCGTACGATTTACACGTTGACTCACCTGTGCCTTGTTGATGGCTGGTGTAGCCGTCATCCCGATAAAACAGCCAGACTCGAGGCACCACTCCGTAATCGCGCGCACACCGAGATGGATAAGATTAGGCTTGCGTACAATGTGCATCTCGTCAGCGATGAATATAGAGACCTGACAGGCGAATAGACTGTTAGGGCCGGTCGCTTCCCACCCTGGCTCAGCTCTGACAGGAGACCCAGCCTGCGCACCAGTGCCCTGGTGCCCCAAACCTCGGCTAGCGTCGTCCCGAAGAGCCTACAGAGGAAGCATTAAGTCCAAGCCACTGCGATGATGGCCTACTTACCGTATACGTCGCGAGAATGATCCGCCGCCCCTTGGGTTGCTGCGACTCCGCGTACAGGCGCTTCCAATTCTCGGTGCGCTTTACGAAGGTGCCAACGTACGGGAGGATGTCAAACGAGCCCTTTTCGAGGTATCTTTCGAGTTCCGCCGTCCACTGCTTGTGCAGACCGGTCGGGCACATGATGAGGATAGGGGAGTCGGGTATGTTACCAGGCTTGCGCATGTACATTTGTCCGGCTGCGGGGACGTGAGCACTTTGGCAACTACTGCCTTTGGTCACTCACCGAAACGCCCCGGAAAATTGCCGTGTTGATCGTAAAACATACGATAGTACGCCAAGCAGGCAATCACACCGACAGCCTGCATCGTCTTGCCGACACCGACGGCGTCCATGAGTAATGTCGGGTCACCTTTGAACATATGCTCGAGAATGCGAAAGATACCGATGAGTTGATGCCAACGCGGCGTCAAGTCGACGGCGCCGCTCTGTTCGTCTTCCAGAAGCCGTCTGCCTTCCTCGGTCCAAGGGCTGAGCATCCCGTCGGGATCCGCGAGTCTGTTGAAGAACGGGAGCCGCCTATCGGGAACCCCTAGCGCCTTCCAGATGTCGTCCTCGCTCGCGTGTGCCAAGTCTTCGACACCAGACGTCCAATCCGACAAATCAACATCGTCGTCGAAAGGCAGTTCTAAGTCTTCCTCGTCCTGATTACCCACGGTCTCAATTGCAGCCATTATGGCGCGCTCGATCGTGTCGATCTCGTTTTTGCGTGCGAGCTTCAACAACGCCTCGCGTAACGTCTTTGGAAGTTCTAAAGCAACGTCAGTGCATGTAGATAAGTATATATTAACAAGGAGAACTCACTGGCCGCTTTCTCTTCGAACCCTTTCTGCTTCGTCGCGGTCGCGCTCATTTGCTCGAGCCGCTGACGCCAAGTACTGAGTTGCTCAACCGACGAGTCATCCGTGAAGGCCGCGAGACGAGGGAGGAGGCGGCTGATAGTGGCGATGAGCGTGCGCATATCTTTGACATTGGGTGGTGCGTCCTCCCCATGATCTGCGATGGCTGATGATCGCCGTCAGCGAGGCTGACGCTGATGAAAACGTTCTTACCTGTCCAACGGTCATCGCATGTCTGGATCGTCTTGTTGAGAACACGCAGTTCACGGACATTCGTCTTATACCAGCGATGCCACGTATGAGCCAATAACGTTGCAACAAATTCGCGAAAACCGGATTTGAGGAAGTCGGGCGGCGACTGGATGGCTTCATGACCGAACAGCGAGACAGCGATAGACCCTTGGCCCTTGTATAACATAGCGCCCTCAGACGAGATGTTTGTGATCTGAAAGGGTGTAAGCCATTGCGAACGGTAGCTAGAAAACTGATACATAGGAGCACTTACGTCCCGTTCGTTGAACCGTTGAAGAGTGTCACAATAGCCAACGCCTTGCTGAGTGAGAGCATCGTCGACAAGCGAGTTGATTTTCCAAGCCTTCCCCCATTGATTACTGACGAAGTCGGACCAACCCTTGCGCCCCTCCCGATGATCATCGCGGCGCTTCGTATTTGCAAACCTGACTTGATCTGTGACCGATTTCTGGTTCCGAAGACAGCGCACGAATGACTGAACCTGACGAGCAAATCTAACCGTCCAGTTGGGAATAGTCGAGGACGGATCGTCGTCGGATTGCTCAGCGGAATTGGCCCACGGAATACCGCTGACGTCCGTGAGTGTTTGCCAGACCGTATTCTTCCACGGCAGATCGTCTTTTCTACCAAGAAGAATAAGCGCGGCCGACAGACCCACAGTAGGCATGTCGACCGATGATGATGAGTTTCGAACAGGGAGCAAGACTAATCGCGAACGGCGGGGACGGCTTAAGTCTGTAGACGATGGGGGTGATTGGAACGTGCTGCCGGCGAGGCGTTGGTCTGCGGGCTCAGTGACCCACCTTTGTTTGCCTGGGATGGCCGGCTCCGGTGCGCCGATAACGTTGCCGTTGTCGGCAACACAGGGCAAATGGAGTTTGTGGATAATTTTAGCTGAAACTTACCCATGTGCAGCCCAGGCGTCCAGGACACGCGCAGGCAACGAGGGCTACTATGCCGGAACCCGCAATGAAAACCTTCACCCGCCATGAAATCTGTACCTAGTGTCTGTAGTTTTCATTTCTCTACCAAGCCGCGCAATACGGTCATAGAGTAGTTTCATTAGATGGCCCATGTTCAATCTTGTAGGTATATACCAAGGGACAGGGGAGGGACAGTCGAATTTCATTGCGGGTGACGTTTTTCATTGCGGGATCCGGCATAGTACGTTCCTCTGCATGCGGGCGTCCAGGAAGCCCCCGTGCGGCGATGCCTGTATCAACTACAATCGGCAGGAGTGACGCAGTCTCCTCCCCGTTTAGGCCTGCGGGATGCCTGCGTGCAGCCGAATGCGGCAGGGGTGACGGAAGCCCGCTCCGCGCGGGTGTCCTGGACGCCGGGTCCAGGCGCTAGGCCTAGCACTCATCTTGAAGCACACCAAAAGAGGCCCCTTTGTATAAGATGATGCGACGCTGTAGTGCGCAAGGCATCCCGGATGCCCGTGTTCTGAGCGCAACCCGAACCCGATACACCAACCGAGCTGGCGCGCATGGGCTTTAATCAGCAAAACTGACAGGACTACCTCGGTAAAGACCTTTACTGAGGCACAGTTTATCACTACTTGTCGGAACGTTCTGGAGAGGATTATAATGATGCCGGATTATAAACCGTTTATTATGAGAAGCTCTCGTTCTTATGCATTACTCGAGTACAAAGGCCATTAAGTATCATTGCTTGGTCGGCGCCTGGGAATGGGGTAATAATGCATTTTGATGACCATTATCATGGAAACAGGCAATTGCCAAGCATGATCATGTAAAGGTTACCCCATAATTATCCTCAATAATGATTCAGTGTGCTCCACAGAAAGTTCCAACATTGTCTGCCATTGCAGGGGAACGTAAGTAAGAACAAGCTTAAGGGGATATGCGTAACTATGTTGAATCAGAACCGATGTGGGTCAAGCTACGAGAAGCCGGTAAAGTAATTGCCGTAGCGAGTCTTTTGCTGATGAAAGCCCATGCACGCTTATCAGTACAAGCCTGTGCCTTGGTAAATACATCACTCGCGCCAGTCCAGTACAATAGCACATCATTGTCATTAGTGTCAATAGCTATGCGGCTCTGGATTCAAACCCTAGCTTACATTGAGCTTTGATAGGCCCCAAACCCGACTTCAATGTTAAAAGCAAATTGTATTGCACCATAGTGTCTACTGTCTACTCGTTGTTACTACGTGCTGGCCCCAGAGCAATCAAATACGGCTGGTCGCTCATTCTCCTCCGCAATGCCATGTTCATTGCAATCGTGATGGAGGGAAATTTGTGGCCGACAGGGAGTCGTTGAAAGCCTACCGGACCAGGACCCGAGCCCACCTTCTGCTGTTTCGTCCTCCAAATCCTCTCCTTATCGACATATGGGATCCATGTCAACTTGTTGAACTCCCTTCGCAAAGTAAACCTCAACCGTTCAATTACCGCTCGCTCTTGCGTGTTTACCAGCTCAATCCACTTCAAGAAAAATGTGCAGTTCGGCCAATTCTGCGGGCGACCGCCCGTAGGAGCCTCCAGTGGAAAGAAGTGGTCGAATATGCCTTCCCAAGTGTGCTTGTCAGCCCAGCAATATTGCACGCGGTGGAATGGAAGTCCCATGGTCTGAAAGACGTCGATGGTTGCAACCTCCGGGCGGTACGCCGGGTCGCAGTTTAGATAACTCCCCTTGTTACCGTCTTTCCTGTTCGATGTGTCCATGAGGATGTCGAATGGTAGCTGTTCCCAAATGGTCTGGATCCTGCGCTGCATGGTCTCTCCCTCGCTGTGGTCACCGTCAATGGGCTCTTCTCCCCGTAGCCCACCGTTGTTTGCCCGCATATAGTCAATGTCGGGGCCTTCCAACCGTCGACGTTGCGGAGGACGCATGTCTGCCAGTTCTCCGCCAATGTCGGGCAGAGCGCGATCGTCATCACGGAAGTTCTCGATGTTTCGCGCACGCCTTGTACCACGATTCTGAGTTCGGTCGGGGTTGGTTTGGAACTCCCGGCTCAGAACGGTTGATCCAAAGCCCAGTTGTGTTCGGATCCCTGCATACGATGCTTGATTGTAGACATAACAGAGGTCCCGCTCATTATACCTGCGATTGTGAGGAAGCCGGAAAGCCCCAGTCCGAGTGTCTTGCACAATTTCGCACACGTAGTAGAGACCACCATCCAGTCCCCAGGGACGCCTGGGCTCAGACGGATCATGGTTGGAAGTGCGATCTTCATCGGCATCGAGATCATCCTCTTCAGGAACAAATGGCCCAGACTCCTCAGCAAGCCCCTTGTAGATCTGAAGAGGGTTACGAAAGCATGCATTCATGATGTAGATGGCCATAGCACCGAGTGCCAGAGATGACTCGAAGTCTCTGTCTCTAGGCGGAGCACGGAATAGATTCTGCAAAACAGTGTGGCAGGCGGCCAGACGGTAAAACTTGAGGAGCCTACTGGCACATCAGTACTTTATCCAATCCACAGATAACATGAAGGTCAAACTCACCACCATACTGTGGCAGGAATGCGGTAAACACTCGAAGCAATGCGTGCATGTGACATGCGGAGGGCCCTAGTATCTGCATTGGCAAGCGGGACACGGATCTCCAGTCTGGCACTGCCGGACTGTGGTCTTGAAGTTCCATCTTCTGCTGCAGCCTCCAATAGGATGACACCCATCCTCATCATGTCCGACAACAACTTGTCGTGATTACTGCGATTGAGTAAAAGGTGGGGGGATCGAGTGCGAAACAAGCCTTGATGGAGCTGGTATGATAGAGCTTTCTCTGTTGTGTATGCTTGGATGTATGAGATGTTGTGTCGACGCCCATAAAACGGTATGTCAGCCCGGAAGCCAGAAACTCTACCCAGCTGCATCACCGGGTCCTCATGGAAGGAACGCGACGCCATGATTCGATTGATCCGTTCATCAGAGAGAGAGGGAAGGAGGTCCGAAAGGATATGGCTGTGTGAGTCCTCGCGCCAAGTGACAACATGATCGGGAGAGGAGATCTCAATCCCCACGTCCACTTGCCAGTCGTTCTCTGTATCGAGGTCCTCCAAGCGCAGACAGTCTGTGAGCCTGTCAAGTCCACGGTAGACGTCATCCACATCTTCGTCACTGAACATTGTCATGGACTTCCAGCCACGGAGCTCGTGCCCAAAGTAAGCACCGGCAAATGAACGATCAACATTGTCGAGGTTGTGCATCAGAGCCTCAGCCAGCGCATCCAGCTCGTGTGCGGGAACGTCCAGGGAGCCAAAGACCAAGGTACCGTTAACTGTCCTTGCTTTCTCGAGTGCTGTCTTATAGCTGGTAGGCCAGTATGAAGCATGAGGCTGCAAAACTGCGTAGACAGCAGGCCGTAGGCATTTGTCGTAGAACACGTGGAGCAAAGCATTAGGGAAAAATGCTGGCTGGCCAGACCGGTAGAGAGCAGGAAAGAAGATGCGAACGATATGACGGTTGGCCACCCTTCCAAAGGCAATGTTGGGGATCAGGTTCATCTGCACCCACTGCGCATTTCCCTATTGCACAAGTAAGTCTCCAATATATAACCTCACTTGAAAATCCTCATACCTCCTGGTCATATACCTTGCCCTTGACATGGTTATCGATAGTGAGAGTATCCCTGAATGGAGGCACAGGATAGATGGCCATTCCCAACCAGTAAGGTAAATCTCTTGTTGCTCCCATCAGCGAGTCGAAGTCATAGGACTTCTGGTACACCGCTCGCGGGAGATCTTCATAGCCATGTCCAATTTGTAATGTAGCTGTGCGTTCTTCATCTTCACCCGAGTCAACATTGCGATTGTAGCACCGGCCGGCAAGCATGAACCGTGAAAAATCAAGTTCATTGTTGTCGTCGTAGAGCTTCCTTCCATAGTTGATGAAGTTGACCAGGCTCAGCTGAACACCTATGACCTCGCGATCATCCGGGTAAGGCAGCATTGTGAAGCAAGGAGTTGAGTGAGAAACAAAAAGCCGGGATTCAGTAAAAGCGGGAAGTTCTTTGCATTCTATCCACCCTCAACATTCCCCACTCTTTATAGATCCATGCTGCAGGGTCATGTCGACGAAAAAGGTGACGTGGGATCTGGTCTTTCCAGGAAATGTTTCTGTGAGACCCGAGAATGTTCTGTAACATTCCAAAGTTTTCTGCAAGGGTCGGGAATGTTTTATGGGTGCTGGAGAGAGATCTTCTTCATCGCACTCCAGAATGTTTCTATAGCGGATGCTGAGGAAACCATAAAACCATCAGATCCATCACTGTAAATAACATTGAGCTTTGATGAGTAGAATTTATGGCAAAACTCGCTTATATACACCTACAGATTGACAAAGGTTTCTGCACTAAGATAGTATAACCCGCTCAAATTTGTGTGGCCCGAACGCAGGCTTCCTGCACTGGGTGTAATGACTGCATTTGTACTCATGCAATGGCACTCTCAAACACGGGCTTCTAGGAAGCCCGCCCGCTGTAACCCACTTGTGTGTGAATATCCGGCTCTACACACTCCCAAACTAAGTAACTGGAATTCGGAAATCCAATGTGTCACTTCCGGATTCTGGTTACTTAATTCGGGAGAGTGTGCTCTCCTCAAACACGGGCTTCCAGGAAGCCCGGGCACTGTCCATGCCGTGACGCCCACGCGCGTGAGAATGCTGCACTACTTAATATGGGAGCATGTGCTCTCCCCAAACGAGGGCTTCCAAGAAGCCCGCGCACTTTGCATGCCCTGTCGCCCACACGCGTGAGAGTGCAGCATTACTTAATTCGGGAGCGTGTGCTCTCCCCAAACGCGGGCTTCCAGGAAGCCCGCACATTGTGCATACACCTCGTCAGCTATGTCACCTAGGCGCGTGAGAGTACTGCACTACTCAATTTGGGAGTGTGGGCGCTCCCCAAATGCGGGCTTCCAGGAAGCCCGCGCGCTGTCCATGCAATGATGCCCACACACATGAGTGGGCTGCGTTAATCAATTTGGGAGTATGGGCTCTCCCCAAATGCGGGCTTCCAGGAAGCCCGCACGTTGTGCATACACCTTCTCGGTTATGTTGCCCACGCGCATGAGAGTGCAGGATTACTGAATTTGGGAGTGTGTGCTCTCCCCACACGCGTGAGAGTACTGCACTACTTAATTTGGGAGCGTGTGCTCTCCCCAAACGCGGGCTTCCAGGAAGCCCGCGCACTGTGCATGCACTGTGCATGCACTGTGCATGCCCTGTCGCCCATGTGCGTGAGAATGACTGTGCTGCACTACTTAATATGGGAGCGTGTGCTCTCCCCAAACGCGGGCTTCCAGGAAGCCCGCACATTGCGCATATACCCTGTCGGCTACACCGGGTCGAGTGATATGTGCTACAAACATAATTTCGAAGTCGCGTCCCGGCAACATTGATAGAACCTATCAGGGGCCACTCTCCTACCCAGATGGATGGTCGTGTAGTGTCGCACTTTGAATCTAGTACTATTATCTAATCGGACATGTCGCCAGCGCGGCTGGTCACACCGTAAAATGGTAGAGCTGCCGCGGCTCGCCGAATAGAATCCGGGAGCCCGAGCGCATATCGTGTATCACAAGCGCTAGTTCTCATAATAATACATGGGAAGCGAGGTGGTACAAGAGGGCGAGTCGGGACGTAGCTTGAGGTTTGTCGAGGCACGATGCCGCCGACCCGTATGCGCTCTTTTAGGGAGAAAAGGAAAAGAAACAAGAAAAAAGAGGTGAACGACGAGATGGAGAGGCGGCAAGCGTGGCACTAGGCGGTGAGTGCGGCGAGGAGGGCGGGATGCTTGCGAATGTAAACTTTGAATGCCTCTGAGGACCAACGCCCCGCGGCTTGGATGCGGTCGGGTGGGACACCTGCCTCCGCGAGGGCGGTAGCTCTGCCAGCGCGCATGGAGTGGCCGGCGATCGACGGCGGGAAGAGTCGTCGGAGCCGGGCCATGAACCAGGAGCACGTGGGGAGAGACCCGTCTGCCCGGATCCATAAGTAGGGTCGGGTGCGCGCGCGGTCGTCGCGAAGGAGCAGGTATTAGTAACGGCGGAAGGCAGCAACAGGGCACGGCGGGAGTGAGAGGCGAGTACCAAGATGTCATCGCCCTCAAACGTCGTGTCCGCCTTGTGGCCGGGGAGGTGGAAGGAGATGCTATCGGGTGCCAGCACGACCGAGTGGCGCATGGAGATCTTGGAATGTCACGCAGCTGCACGCGGTCGGGCACCACGAGTTCGCCTGACTGCAGGAGAGCGTAAAACCCCACTAGAAGTTGGGCGATGAAGAGGGAGTCGTCGTAGTTGTTGTCCGGGCGCAGGCGCGCGACGGCGGAAGCAAGGTCACCTTTCGTGAGCGGATCCTTGCGATTAGCCGGTGCACCGAAGCGGCTGAATGAGCCGCGCATCGTGCGCACAACCAGGGAGCTTTTCCGGACTTGACGAACGTCGGGATAGATAGGTAGTTGGCTGCAGATTCCCGAGAGATATGAGTTGATAGATTTGGGGCGTACTGATGCTTGCATGAACACGATGAAGCGGGCAAGGGTGTCGGTCGTTGCATCAGGAAATCGACAGGCGACTTTTCAGCGCTTTTGGCTAGCTGGGCCGCTTCTCCCCGCTTTAAGCCGCTTTAAGCCGCTTTGGAAGCCCACACCAGCTCCGATGTGGGGCCTAGTGGTAACCGTGGGTTGTAACAAGCCTAATGGCCCCAAAAGCGCGAAAAAGACTAATCGACAGAAACAAGGCACGAAACCAATCAAAAAGCAGTAAAAAGTGCATAATCATACTATCGTAAATGTTGTAGTGAACATACAGTAGTTGTACTTAGGTGCATAAGCCGAATCATAGTGATTTTGTCTCCGCACATCCATTTACTACCCAAGCTGAGTCGATGCCAATCCATGACAGGAAAGACCACGTTTGCTGTCTGGAGAACGGCGCGTTGGCGATCCTTGAATGTGGCTGCTGAGATCGGGGCCGTGTGGTCCATGCTCCTATCAAAACAGGCTTTGTGTCCGGAGAGGAGAGGATAAGGAGCGCGTTGACAGTGTCGCGCTGCTGCCCTCACCCAAGGCTGCGGCTAGAATGCCGCTGGGCAAGAGGATGGAGGATATCAGCGACACCGGCGACAACTCCGCCAATACAATCCGTGCCGTGTGGTCCTCGATGCCGTGAGGCGTCTTGGGAGACGCTGTCGAGGCAGGGGACGACGAGGTGGAGTATGAAGGGGAGGGGGTCTCCGGAGTATCTGGAGGCGGGTACGAGGGAGCAGGCGGGTGCGCGAGAGGGGCCGCTGGTGGTGGTGATGGGCGCACAGGCTTCGGAGGCGAGGGATACCGCTGAGGGGCATAAGGGGAGGGAGATGGTGTCGACAAACTTGATGATGTGGGCCTGGGGATGGCGTCGACGAGGGGAAGACAGTGGAGGGGGGAGAGGGCGTCGCTTTCGAAAGGGATGGGAGGACGTAGGTGGGATAGGGTCCAGGGCCAGCGAAGAGCCGCGAGCAGTGGGGAAGCGGGCTTTGAGACGCTGGAGCAGGACGAGGGCGGCAAACGAGTGCACATCATCGACACCCTGAGGTATGAAAGCAACGGGTATAAAGTTATTTTTGTCCGATAGATATGCATGTGCAGAGTTAGCCGCGTCGCCGTCGAGATCCAGCCCATAATACGATCAGGGAGAGAGTAGATGCGAAGAGAGGAGCGAAGGAGTAGGAGCAAAGAAGTAAATAAATTACCATACCGACGGTATGGCGAACGCGAACATTTTCGACTTGCCGATCGACACCTGATGCTGCTGCTGCTGGACCGGCATCGCGTTGTGTTCTGACACAGGCGACGACTCGGCCGATACGATCCGCGCCGTGTGGTCCTCGATGCTGTGAGGCGTCTTGGGAGACGCTGTCGAGGCAGGGGACGACGAGGTGGAGTACGAAGGGGAGGGGGTCTCCGGAGTATCTGGAGGCGAGTACGAGGGAGCAGGCGGGTGCGCGAGAGGGGCCGCTGGTGGGGGTGATGGGCGCACCGGCTTCGGAGGCGAGGCAGGGGACGACGAGGTGGAGTACGAAGGGGAGGGGGTCTCTGGAGTATCTGGAGGCGAGTACGAGGGAGCAGGCGGGTGTGCGAGAGGGGCCGCTGGTGGGGGTGATGGGCGCACAGGCTTCGGAGGCGAGGGATACCGCTGAGGGGCATAAGGGGAGGGAGATGGTGGCGACGAGTTCGACGACGTGGGCCCGGGAGTGGGCGTCGACGAGGTGAAGACAGTGGAGGGGGGTGGAGGAGTCGCCTTCGAAGGGGAGGGGAGGATGTAGGTGGGATAGGGTCCAGGGCCCGCGAAGTCCTTGCGGATCATCGCCTCGAACTCCTGCAGTGTGACGGGGTCGACATTGAGCTCCCAATCCAAGTACTGACACATCTCCCTCTCCATCTGGTTGATCTCGCGCAACTGGAACATACTCTGTGCGACGATGCTCCAACTCTTATTGGAGTAAGTGTCGTCGCAGATCACCTTAGAGGCGATCATGAACGCGGATACGAAAAGACGGTGGCCAGATGAGCCGCGAGCAGTGGGAAAACGGGCCTTGAGACGCTGGAGGAGGACGAGGGCGGCAAAGGTAACCGATGCGTGGAGTTTCGTCTGGTGGAGGGCGTAGGCGATGAAGTACGGTAGCTTCACAGTAGAGCCCGACGACGAGGGAGGGTACTCGGGGCAAGCGAAGAGGTGGGTGATGAACCGCGCACAGAGGCGCGCCGCATTCTCGTGCCTATAGAAGGGGTCGCGGGCCGTTGAAGGCTGTGTCGACACCGATTTGGGCGGGGCCTAGAACGGAACTATGAGGAAAGCCGGCGACCAAGGAGCTACATGAGGACGTACCGATGGGGGTGGATGGAACCCTTGCCTCGACTGGGAGATGGAGATGTTGTGCGCGGCGCGGAAGGGGGAGGGGTGCTGTGCGATGGAGGGGCCCATTACAGCAGCCATGATGATACCAGAGACGACGAGGGGAGGGGATGAGAGAAGTCAAACGAAAAGGATGCGAAAAGCGCTAGAAAAGAAGGGGGAAAATAGTGAGCAACGAGCAAATGACAAAGTCTATAAAACGGGAGCGGTATGGTGTGGGCAAAGAAGGAAAGTCTGAAAACAGAAAGACGGTATCATGCTATCTCAAATGAATGATGGTCGGCATAGCGGTTGACGTAGAAAACTGAGAACCTGTCATAAGATTGATGGTGCTTGAGATCGCGGGGGACGGCTTTGTCGCCGTAGTAGGGGATGAGATGGGCTGTTCAAACCAACGAGCCAACAGACACAAAGGCTAGGCTGCGCGACCCGTCGTCGTGCAGGTCCGGTCGTACCATATACATCCCGGTGTCTTCATCGCGGTTGTCTGACAAACGGGAGAACCACTGTACCAGCGCACACGAGAACGTGCGAGACTGGTAGTCAAAGGACAAGAAGCCAAATACGCGGGCAACCTCCATTCCGAGCATGCCGCTCACTGCTGGGTTTGTCGAGACGAATGCACAGTCGTACCGCGGAGCTTCAGTCCTCCAGAGTGGTGTCGAACGGATGATCTCGCGGCGCATCCCAGTGGTCCCGCTGAAGTCGCTAGGCGCGCGAAACACGGCTGCTGCAGAGTTGTACAAGTGAATGGTTGAGCTGGGGTTGAAGGCAGGGCAGTCATTGAGCAAGCCATTGGAGGGTGCGTCACTGTCCGAGTCCCGGCGGTACTGATCGCGTAAAAAGAGTCGGATCGCACACAGGAGGCTGTCCGCAGGTAGCTCGAGTTCATCAGCAAGTTCCAGTATGGTTTTGGCGCGGCGACGAGCTACAACAATTCGTTAGAGCAGACACAGTCGAGAATACACTAGCTTACCTATAGTTGCCGCCAATGTAACTCTCGCGTCAATGTTTCCATCAACAGCATCGCCGGGATCCTCGTGTATGCTGTGGGACTCCTGCCCTCGCCAGCGAATGCCCAGAAGATTGCCGCTGTCCTCGGCGACCTCAAAGAGCGAACTGTCTGAAAATAGACTTCAGCTCGCAGATTTTAGTAAGTAGGAACGGATACGTACAGTTGCGCAGGGATTCCAGCTGGGAGGAAGTGAGTACACCGCACAGCATACCTCGAGCTTCGAAGTCAACACGACATGCCGCAAGCTTGTCCAGTCGCTGGTTGATGAGCAGCATCTGGAACAGGGCATTGAAGCGGTTTGAGCGCCTCCATGGCTCTTTCACAGCCTTGATGTGCTTCGACTCCGTGATGGAGGAGCAGAGTCCATTGGGAGCGCCAAAAAGCCGGATCATCAGCGCGTAATGGGTAAGGGAATGCTGCCGGGGGAGTGAAGGGGAGTGACAAGGTTGACGCGACGCCGACCGTCTTGAAGATGACCCGGTACCGGTGAAAGCGTTTGAGAGCGCCCTCCACTTCGCGGATTGTGTCCTCACTGTGTATGTCGCGCCTGACCAGATAGCAGAACTCAAGAAATGCACGGAATGTGCGTATGACGTCCTGTGGTACGTGTCCTTCGATTGCTGGAAGATAAACCTGAAGTCGAGCATTAGCACGTACTGTCGCAGAGCATCATGGTGGTTACATACCTTCATTAAGGCCTTGCTATCATCTCCCGTCCACTGTTTGAAGCCGCGTCCATGTGGAAACCGGCGGAGGCCCGAGAATGGAGCGACAGCCGCGATACTAGATTATACATGTCAGAAACATAACAGCTAACAAGACATTAAACTCACCGTCTGTCGATGTCGTCCAGTTTCGCCAATGCATCGGGCTTAGAGTGAACCTTGAATAGATATGCCACGGTCCAGTCGACGAGGTGATCTTTGAAGGTCCCCTTGATCAGTTGATGTAATATATCGGGCGTGATGAGTTCGTGGATGTCAGCTCTTGGAAAGTCGTTGGTGAACGGCTGCAACAATCGCGATCAAAACGTCAGCGGGTGCAATGCTATCAGACACGTGTGAAACTTACCACCGCATTGCCAATAATGCCGTATGAATCCCACAGTGTCCCCCAGTCGAGTTCGTCGATGAGGATGTTGTTGTGCTCCTTGCAGCGTAGAGCTGCATCCGTGTCCAGCTCGTCACGGTAGGCAACACATCTAAGAGATCATTAGTATAGTACCAATGAGGCGGGACAAGGGACTTACTTCGAACACCAACCCTGAACTATGCACGATAGTAGTGCTTGTTCGGGGTAATCGGCAATGTAAGGACCGAGCCCAAAGATGACTCGGCGGTGGTAGCCGTCGCCGAAGGGCAGTACTTCATATTTAGTCATTCCAGGCTTCAGAGAGGAGAGGATCTTGGCGAGCGATGAATGATAGAGCTGGCGTCGAAAGTGTCGATATGCAGGGTCGCCACTGTTCGATTTGTCCGCTACGTCAAGAGGTTAGCAATGAACGCTGCGAAAGAGAAGACCACTTACTCTTGGGGATAGCCAGGAATCCAATGAGAGCAACCGCATTGCGGTGTGCTCGTCGCACACCGTTATGGACGTTTCCGATAGAGAGATAGAGGGGGTAGTAATCGGTCTGGCCGGTGGCAACCGAGACCGTCGTTTTGTCGCTTCCGAGTATCACGGGAACAAACGTCGCGCCGTGTGTCGAAGGGTCCGACGCTATCTCGTCCTATGGAGCCGTAAGATCCAGGTGTGAAAGCAAGAAAGCCATGCACATACCGCTTGATCCCATGCCCAATCACCGGAGAACATGTTCTCCCACTGGCGGACGTCGGTAGCGTCATAGTCGCGATAGGGGCTGTAGTCTAAGACGTCCTTGAAGTCCGGGTTGGCAAGCATGTTCTGAACGACGGCGTGCGGGTCACGGTACCACACGTCGTACGTCTCATCCATCCAGGTGGACGCCTTGCGGGCGGGCCTGGCACCTTTGTACAAAACGTTGAATGAGCTCCATGGGACGTCGCCAGTCTTGATGCCATCAATCGTCTTGTACAGTTTCTTGTGATCCGCAAACGGAGGGTTGGCGCCATACTCTTGGAGGGTCAAGCCCCACAAGTGCATAAGGTAATCGATGTGAGTAGCAGGGGCCTGGGAGCGAGTGTAGAGCAAGTCGGCAGTTTTGAATGCAACTCTGTTGTGAAAAGGTGACCAGTCGGTACGAGCTCGATGGATAGGAGGAGGAGGGGGGGGTGCAGTGTCAGGTGGTCCCAGAAACTCGCCGCTGCTGTCACATGGGCGGCCTGGGTGTGTGTTAGGTAGATACTAGGAGAAACCAAGACGAGACTCACCATCCAGATATCGGTGTTGTACTCGCACCCCTCCGCCGCGCAACAGCCGCACTTGTCCCAATGAAGAGGCACCGCCATCGTCATATGCACCGCACCCATCTCCAGCACCTGCTTGAGGAAAGTCGTCGTCCATAGGTTGGCCCTGTCCTGCATCAAACTCGGGATCAGGAGACCTTGGACGAGGTGGTGGTGGTGGTGGAGAGGGGCGAGGAGGGAGGTCACGGTGCTTGCTATGCAAATGTTGGGTAAGGCCAGATGGGTTGCTAAGGACTCGGTGGCAGCCTGGAGCCGGACAGCGATACTGAAGCATTGACGGTGCTGGCCGGTGAAGTGGTTCGCCCTCGCTGTTCCTCTCGGGTTCGTTGTGCATATTATGTGAGTCCATGATAGTGGTGAGGAAGAGGAGACAAAACGCCTGCATGCGCGCGCAGCGGCGTTCCACTGGCAATAGACTATTACGTGTCTTTGAAAAATGACAATGGCAACAGCGTGCTGCTTTATCCGCTTTAGTTCATTCCGTGGTTGCGAGTCTGAATCCAGACCAAAACCCACCTTGGCGCCTTTATTTTCTTTTCTTTCCTCCCTCCCATTCTGTGTCGTTAACTCTCTTCCCCTTTGCTCAAACCTACAACCATGTCCGAACGCGTCAGCACCCGCTCCTCTAACGCAGAGAAGCATCCCGGCTTGGCTCACCTTGCACTGAACCGCAGGAGTGCGGACGAAATAGCGCTCGAGAAAGCCCAGAAGCGAGCGACACAGGAAGCCGCCGATAAGAAGAAGAAGAAGAGCCAAGAACGGCTCGCCGATGCTGAGAGTAAGTTAGCTGAGCAACAGAAGGCAAAGGCTATGCGCGCACCGAAGGCACCGGCGAGGCCAAGCCATTCTCGGCGGCTGCCCAATGTTCCGCAAGACGATGGCGACGAGCCTGTAGCTGACGAGACTGAAGTTGCTGGTCAGTAGTCCCTCCAGCAGTAGCACCATAATTGAATGCTCACCTTACAAATCAAGAGGCTCCCAGGAAGGCGCAGAGCACTGCTATCAAGAAACGATCTGTGAACGGAGGCAAAGGTAAGCTGGTGCTTTGTCTGGCATTAATGGATGATTGACTCACAACATAAAGGTGCGGGCAGTGCTAAACAGCTAGCCCAAGTTGCAAAGCCCAAGCAAAGTGTCGCCGCAAGGTCGACGTTCAGGAGCGGGGTGGAGGAGTTGAAGATGGGAGGCAGCCGTGAGGTGCCAGCAGGTCCGCACGAGGTCAATACCGGAAAGGGTAACACTAACGCACGCGTTGTGTGAGTTTCACCTTCCTTCCCATCCCCCGTCATGCTGTTGTACCTGACCGAATCAACTCTGTATTTTCACGACAACGCCATCCGACAATTCAGCCGCCCTGTTTCCTTTAAGTCAGTCGTCAAGAAATGGTCCTCGGACATCCCTCGCTCTGCTCCTCCGTCGGTTGTCTCATCTCAATCCCACGCCACGAGCCGAAACGCGGCCAGCACAGTCTCATCTGTTGCTGGTGCCCGGGCTGTCGATGCCACTGGTGCATCAGCCATAGGGGAGCATGTAGAATCACTGGGCCTCTCTGATGACAACAACGAGAACATCGCCCGTGAGCGCCAGAGTCTCAACAAGGCCAGCGCCCAGGATGACAATGTGAGTTCTCCTCTTGTTCGCTGTGTCAGCCTGGTGACTCTGTGCATCAGATCCTCGACATTGCTCACGCATCGAGCGACCTTCCGGAGATGGCAGAGATGGTGGAGATGGAGGAGGAGGAGGCTCGCTCCAAGCAGACGTCCAACAAGCGAACCCATTTGGATATCAAAGAGGACGAACACAAGGTACTCCCTCCCTCGGATGGAGAACAGGCCCCTTCTTCCGAGGGTATCCCGTGGATGCCCGAGGATCAACTTTCAGATCAGGTCGAACAGGAGAGGCTCATGGACCGGTACTTGACCGCCATGGCGGTGAGTTCGCTATCACTACTCGGACATGATCGTGATCGTGCTAATGGAACTACAGCCCTTCATGGAGTCGGGCCTCCCCTCGCAGTACAACAGTACTAATGAGCCTGACCCCGAGCCTGTGTCTCGCACTACTCTGTCGGTAAGTACATCATTCACATAAAGTCAGCTATTTTTGACTACCAGTTCAGACGGATGTTGCTATCATTGAGAACGCTGGAGTCTCTGACACCACTAGTGCTTGCCCCACCAATACCAAGTCTGTCCATGCTGCTGGTACCGAGACCGCTCGTGCCGCCAATACCAAGACTGCCCGCACTGTCAACACCAAAACCGCTCGCGCCGCTGACAGTAAAAACGCTCACGCTGCCAAGAGCGCCAAGATGGTGCCGGCCACGAAGTCTCGAGGGAAGAAGGGAAAGCCCTCTGACGCTGCGGCTGCGGCTGCCGTCCCCACTCCCATCCCCGCTCCCGCCCCTGCTTCTTCCAAGGCAAAGAAACCTCCCTCGAAATGGGTCAAGGAGGATCTTCCTTCTTACTGCAATGTTAAGAGCCTGTGGACGTTTGTTTTCATTCCGACATTCCTAGCCTGGCTTGGTACCCAGCGGGCCGTTTGGAGGCCGAGCTCTGCGTCAGTCCTTGAGGCTATGAAAGAGATCTGGGAGGTTGTTTACGACCAGGAGATGCCGGAAGAGCAGGACACGGTAGAGGGAGCTGCCTTTGGCTTGGTATGTGTCATTATTTCAGGAAGCCCGTCGCTTACATTATCTCAGTGCAAGCAGAAGGCGAACGACTGGCGGGCTAACTTCGGCTCCACCGCCATTGCCGTCCTCCTCAACAACTTCGTTGAGCAAGACATGTATGGTCAAGACGGCTCCGAGGAGGATCGCAAGTGGTACGCCGAGGGCCTCCTGTGCGAGTCTGCCTTCATGCATGAGGAGGTTGCCGACAATGGCACGTTTGTCAACCCTCTTTGCGGCAAGTTCATGGGCAACATCATCGCGACACACTATTTGTCAACGCAGGGCTACGTTGAGGTGCCCAATTTGGATGAACTCGCGGGTCTATATGCTCCATGGGGCGCGATCACGCTCGCCATCACCGCGGTAAGCCTCACCATCATTCATTCCATACTTTTGTCATCGTTACATGGGTGTATTCACTCCTTTCCTGCTGTTAGGGCGAACACGTGTGCTCGCTTGCCAAGGACGGTAAGCTTGGCTCAATTGAGCATATCCTTCAGGACCTTGCCAACTTCGAGGCAGCTGGCCGCCACGGGACCTCCATCACCCGGGCAAAGGCGCTCATGAGTGCCAATAAGGACGATCGCTTGGAGCTGAACGGAAGGACCGGGAAGCAGTCAACAACCATCCTCAACTTCTCGGAGCAGAACTGGTCGTCGGCCTCGTCCGCATACTGGATGTCGGTTAGGGCTGCTGAGCCTGAGGTAATGGTCTTGGCCTTCGACGCCTCAGCGCCATATTCTAACAAGGTCAAGTGAGGAGAACGTGAGGCAAACAACGAAGACGATAGTGAAGTCCCGGCCGCAATCGCTGAAGATAGGCGGGCGAAGCTCAGATTCTGTAGATGAGTTTCTATTTTTGCCTTATCCGTGCTCTCATTAGCCTTCATAGGACTGGTCACTCCATTCCTCGGTCTCGATCGAACGCTTGCACCGCTTGCTCTTCACGTCGAGCTCGCTATCTCTGCTATCGTCGTCTTTTCACGCTCTGGATATTCACGCCGCCGTCTTTGCTGACCCGCTTGTAGTCATGCCTTTCCTCTCCCTCATGCATCACTACGTCTATCAACGCTTGCTCTCCCTCTCTCGCCAGCTGGTCTGGACTGCTAGATTTATCTCTTTTTTTTACTCTGCTTTCTGCTCGCTTATTACGACTGTAGACTGACATTGGGTGGCTTCGAAAGCCGCTTTTGGACGCTTAATAGACACTTTTTATGACTACTACACTAGATGCTGGAGTGAAAAGGGTGATTAAGCTAGAATAAGCAAACAAACGGTGGGGCCAATGGGAGAAAAGCAGCTATAAAGCAGAAGGATCTACTTTTACGCTCCTTTTTGGAACCTTGCTTTCGATTAGCTTTTGGATCATTAATAGCCAAAAAGCGAGTCAAAAGCGCGGAAAAGCGGCCTGTTGATTTCCTGATGTGCGCACAACACCGCTAAGGCTTCATAGAAAAAGATGCCGTGTTTCGGCGAGTCCGCCGGCGCATAGAAGCCGGTATTCAGGCCTCAGGGCTGGAATCTACACCCCTAGACCGTGCAAACACGCGTCCGTGTAAACAGTGAGTGCTGTTGAGTAGTCGGATGCTGACCACCGCACCGACCAGAAGAAGAACACCCCTTAGGCGATCTTGAGACAATCTGCCTGTTGGAATTCGAGTCGCTGGGGCTCGCTGACACAGTACGAGTGTCGTGAAGACGACCAAGGCCCCTATTCTTTTCTTTCTTTTCTCTTTCCTCCTCTCTCTCCTTTCTACACTTAGAGCCAGGTCCGCGCACCTCCGGTTATCTCCGCACGCCTTCGGACACCTTCGGACCCTCCGAAGATTTCGGAGTTTGCTCCACGTCTGGAGTTACCTCGGACCTCTTATGTTTCCCTTTGAGCATTACTCCCGACAACATTCGGACTTTATGCAGACCATGCGGACGCTTGACAGCAGCGCTGTACTACCTCCGTGACAGCAGATGGTTATCGGTAGCATGATCAGGATCCGAAGATTGCGGGAGTTGTTTATATACTGAGCAGTTCGCATCCTAGTCCCCCATCTCGACCTCTTGGTCATTGGGACTAGGTGCGCATTCACTTTGTAGTAGATAGCATGCTTTATTGACTTGGTCATTGGGACTAGTGCTTTCGTGCTCACCGCCGGCACTCGTTGAGATCCTCCATCACCTAGCCTTGTGGTTTCGGCCACTTGTACGCCTACGCTTCTACGCTCCTACGCTCCGCTCCGTTCCACCTACCTCCGACCCCTCCGAAGTTTCGGAGCGGTTTAGGAGTTTAGAGTACCGCCCCTGTTGTGTCCACAACAACGAGCGCGGTTTGTCCCGGGCAGGAGAGTAGCCCGAAGGGCAATCGCGTAAAGATTAACATAGCGTAGTACACAGAATATATACTGTGGCTGATGTCCTGTACAGTACGTAGTTTCGAGACGCTTACTGTAACAGCTAAACTGTTACTCACCAAACTACTGAGGGAACTTGAGGAGGGATAAGTGATGTGAGATATAGATGATGAGTGGTGAACTTAGAGAGCTGGATGAGAGTGGTGATCTCGAGTATAACAAGTGGATTAGACTGGAGAGTACGCTCCAGGATATGCCTCCTTAAATACAAGTACAGATCTATGATATCATGCTGTGTCTGCCCTAGACTATTTAGGATGATGACTGTACAGTATTTGGTTCGACCAATGGCAATGGCCCTATAACTAATGTCTGACTAAAGGTGTGCCTTGATTGCTAAGAGATTGGTAAGGCGTGCCTGTAATACTGACTAAGGAGATCATGTGCAGTACCAGCTGATGCTAGAAACCATGTGGAACTACTGATACTATCTACTGATCGACTATGATAAGAGTCCAGGCCTTATCAGCTGACGATCTATGGAGATCTAGGCTTGATCAGCTGTTGATCTATGAGATCATAGGCGCTTCTATGCCAGGTACATAGATATTCCTGCATGACAAATCCTCCATGGTAACCCCAGGGTTTATCCCTATGTCCAGATCAACATAACTTCGAGATGTGATAAGATGGAGAGAGATAAGGACACTTCTAGGGGTTAATCTACCATGGATAGGTGTTCTCCCATGTCCTATGTTGTATCTCTTGTATCCCCTTGTACCGGTGGTGTACAATCATGCAATAAATGTGGAAAAATAGTAGAAATACTGGAATTTGTGACACTTACGTAATCACAATTTACAATACTGCCGCCCAGGTGAGGTCATCAACTATAGACTTGTTGATCCAGATGCGAGCGCTGGGGAGGTTCTTTCCTTGCGTCTTGCGGTAGAGCGAGCAGAGGGCAGGGCGTAGGAGTGGATAGACTAGTGTTGCCGCGGCTCGGCTCAGTTCGAAGCTGAATCGCTCCCTAGTAAAAATAACAATTGATTTTTGTAGCGTAAGGTTTATGTTTTGAAGTGATGACTGGCAGCGACGATGGCAACAGGCCCCCAGAAGCTCCCCCCAAGGTTTGTCCGCCCACCAGGACCTCAGATATATTACGGTATTACCCGATTAGGACAGAAAATACATTACGGTGGACAGACATCAGGTCATGTGCAAAGGGTAGTAAGCTGAATTACATCATCAAATTCCCCCTCGAACAATGAGTACTCGAAGCTCACTGTACATAGCTGGACGCGATGGAGCTATCTAGTTTCATATACGTGTACATCTAGAGTGTTCCACTATGTACCATCCATTTATGTATCTACACCATTCACATGTGCGGCAGAATACTTATGTACTGACCGAGACCTTACTTCTACCTGAGTAATTGAGTGGCGGAAGCTTCAAGCAAACTCTAGGCGATGTGAGTACCTCCCAGCACACAGAAGCTCTCCTTGATAAAACAAGTGCTGTGATGTCCATGCCCGAAAAGACGTCATTACCAAGATGGTAAACAACGGTGCTGGAGTGAGCATGCGTGTGGATCTCCGAGGTGAGGTAGGGTGTTCGGGTGAAACGATGTTGCTGGGGCTCCGCAGAGTTGCTGGAGTCGGTATAAGCATCATCCTCAGTAAGATGCATGAAAGCCATTGACTATGATAGTGAAGATAAGTTAGGAAATGGTTCGAGAAAGTGGTGAAGGGGTAGCTTACCAGAGGCAGATAAGCACGGAGGGATAGGAATGTAACATCATCGAGAGACCTCACTGGGACTCCGATCGAGTTGTATTGAGCGCTTACTTTGCCCTTGTGGAACATCTCGAGTACTTCTCCAATATAATAACACTTGAGAGTCCGGGCAATGACAAATGAGCAAGGGCAAAGAGGCGTGAGCATACTGATGTTCTTGATATTCAATTGCGGAGGGGCTGTTGTATCGTCAGAATCGTATTTGGGAGTGTTGGAAACATTGATAAACGTACTTTTAACACCAATAGCTGCGCGTACAGCTCACGACGCTTCATACCATTGCAGTTGGCGCACCTTCTTGATCGATTTGCTTTTCTTTGGTGCTTGGGCTTGATGGATGCGAATGCAATGCGACATTTCTTGAGACGACATCTTCTTTCTGCTATCGGTATTCTTGCCCTCGTTTGACTCACTGGTGAGTTCTTCGTTGACCTTGGTGAGTGAGGGAAAGTATTTCGGATTTAAACAAACACGACACTTGCTGTGGACATTGGCAAGGGACTGGAGGCGGTGGCGTTTGTTCTTGAGCATGGTGACAGAGACGCGATTGTTGGCATTGCGAATTCGATTAGTTATTTGGTCCTCCATGGCCAGTTCATGTGTTGGAGGCTCCTCTGTAGGCATAGCATCATGTGCAAGCGGGGAGTCTGTCACAGGCGATGGGGGTAGATCCCGAACTTCTGCTTCAACTGCATCCAGATCAGCCGAGAGTGCTGAATCACGTGCCATGACTAGTGCAGCTTCACCAGCATCAAGACCATCCAGTGGAGGCGTATCTTGCTTGCTGCCTGCGTCTGGTTCGTCATCTGAGCCTCCGGCATCATCCAAATTGAGATCTGATTCATCATCAGCTCCTAGGTTGACGGGATCGGCTGATGCATCATCAGCAGAGGACGATGGAGCAGGGATTGAGGGTCAGAAGAGTGAAAGGGGGCGATCAAGGTTGACGGGAATATGGAGGACCTGCCTGCACATTTCTGCGGCATCATGACAAGCAACCTCAGCTAGTTTGTCGAGTCAAGGACGTGTGATGGAGCAGCGCATGCGCTTGAGCTGTGAAGGACTGAGTGGAGTGGGGTTGAAGTCAAAAGAGTATCCCGATTCCTTTTCGCGTTGTTCTGGAAATGTGCCGCTCATCTGTATCTTCTGTCGGAGGGAAATATTACGTACAATTTTGAGGAGTTCTCTGTATGAGAAGTCGGGCAAGAGTTGACAAGTGATTCCAAAGAAGTGCTCGACAAAAGCCGTTCCCCAAGTCCATGGGCAGAATAGCACATCTGGGTAGTACTTGGAGTAGACAAGAGCCAAGGTCACAAGGGAGTCGAGTAGATGAGCAAAGATCCAATGGCTAGATAGGGAGATAAACGAGTGTTCGTGCAAGATCAAATTGGGGAAGAGGCGACGAAGGGTCTTGATATGCTCGGAAACAAAGTGCAGCCAGAAATGCGTCCGGAGGACGGCTGACAGACAATCTTCTGGAATGAGTGTAGGGTGAAGATATGCTTCAAACGTGACACCTAATGGTAACTGTAAGCAACTGTCACATCATAGTTAATATATAGCACACCGAACATGAAAAGCCAGACGTTCAAGCCTTTGAAGCCGGGCTTGATAACGTCATCAGCTTTCTCATCCACAGATGTTGTCGCATAGAATGCTTCCTCGGAATAGAGGCGCCTTGCAGCACCGTCATCTTGCTTGTTGACATCTTTAACATCTCCTTGAACAAGCCAGAAAAGCGTTGAAACCGGAAGTCTGGCGCTGCGCGAGCTGCGACGCAGTCCGGCAAGTCTGGCGGGTACGGTGCGGTTGCGGGGTCCCTAAACAAAGTCAACCGCATGTGATCTAGCCGCGTTGCGTAGATATCCTAGCCCTCCTGTACATTATCTTATCTACATCCCATTCACATTCCCTATGTTCGCCGGCGTTGTAGCCCGCCTTGTACACTTAAGAGTACCCCCAGTTTGAGCAGCTCGAATACGAGCAGATCACAGCATTTATCGAACGCTGTCGTGACTTTCACCAAAATATCAGCATGATCCAACCAACCTCTAAGTCAACAGCCTCTACCCCGCCAATCTATTTGCCGCATGTCCACCAGCTCTTTCTCTCTGTTATCATGTCTATTCAAATACAGGACATTCCTGTTATGTGGAGGGGTCTTTGGGACCTCATATGGTCATTGGCACCACTCGAGGAACGAGAACGAGATAGAGATGAAAAGTACGCACAAATCGCACGAAGAGATAACGTAGAACGGGGATTTTTATTCAAGTTCTTCAGCTACTGTATAGTTCTTGAGCGTATCGGTACATGGAATGTGAGGTACTGTGGCAACGAGGACGAGGGGAGGCGCGGCGCGTCTCAGTCACGTGGTTTTGATTTTGACCAAGACCCCGAAACCCCTCGCAACTTGCCGCCGGACTGCCGTACCTCGCCAGACCAGCGCGACTGCCGGACTTCCGATTTCAACACCGTCCTCGAACAAGCCCAGACTCTCCGGTTTTGTAGAGATCAATGAGGTCTTGATTGATGACATGCCCAATCCCCATCATCGCAGTGTGAGCTCCGTACTGCGGATTATTCCTTGAGGTCTTCTTGCCATGCCAAGAACAAGTAATTGAGACGAGCAGCCCGGTATGCTTATGGATGGGTGCGCGTAACTTGAGTCCAAAGCATATATTCTCGTAGACCACCGCCTTGCCAGTTCCCACCTCTTGGTCCATGAGGAGCTGTGCAGCTGCTTCGACTGCAGCGCCGTCAGCTGCGGAGGTGACAACCGGGAGATGGACAGCAGCTGCCATACTGAGAAACACCATCTTGAGCTTGTGCACCTCCTGCACCTTTTCCTTCCCATTGCTTGGCAGGAGCGCAACTACTACAGGAGGCATGCCAGGTACCACGGGCTACATATGAGCGCATTAATCACTGCAAAATAAACGAGTAGAAATCAGAAACAAGCTCACCCTCATGAGGATTGCACGATATTGACTAGCGACTGCATTCTCTTCGTAAATATGGTTTAACACATCCTCTAGGTCATTGGGATTGTCGACCGAGCACTGGGAAAGAACAACCACAGACCCTATGACGTATCCACCAAAGTCAGGCGAGTAAGAAAGGCGCCGCCGCACTTTGGTATCATCTGATGCAAGCGCCCAGGGACCAGAGTATCCTTGAGATTTGGCGTACCACTTGGCACGTGCTACATTTTCAGGAACAAGACATGGGTTGCTAAGAGCGTCTTCAGAACGGGCCGCTAGAGACCTAGTGCATTTTTAGTATTTTATCCTGAATGAAGACAAGAACCTTTAAATACCTAAGTGAACAAATAGAGGGTCCACCTATCTGATTCCTGAGGATGCTGTACTGTCACCCATTGTGGCTGCCATAGCCACACATGAGGAACATGAAATTATAGACATCTTCATTGTATCGAACACCATACTTGAGGTTAGGATCTCCGGACTCGTCAATGTATACCTTTGTCTGAAACACTTTTGCAAGGCCCACTACCGCTCGGTGATCCTCAAGCCAGCCCTCTTTTGCAGCTTTATGAAGATACAGAAACACAAACAAACCCGACTGCCTATCCTCCGTATTGCTCAGACGCATGTAGACATCGTAAGCAAGGGGGTGTTCGCCCAGAAGCTTGGTGAGCTTTCGAACATCAGACTCAACAATTGCATGAGGTGTAAATGTCTTGCGCGACTCGAGTAAAGCGTGTTGCTCCTCCTCTGGAAGCGAAGCTTCCTTTTGCTTCTATGGGCCATACTCAGCGGGATACTGGAGAAGTATACAGAAATGTAACGCGCCTTGCAAACTGAATGCTGGAATGACTCATTTCTACCAATATCTGTGCAGAAATCGCACTCTCGTCCAGTTGCCTGTCACCTTGGTGCACTCCATAGACTTGATAAAGCCCTTGGCAGGATCTACTTCCCAGTGTGCCAATGCACGAAGAGTAGTGTTGAAGATATCCTTCTCATCATCCATCCACTTGCTCTGCTTGAGCGCCGGGTTCTTGTTCTTGAGGATGACAGGTTTGATGATGTTGGTCAACTGTGACTTCAGAACCTTTGCTCCCAGTGGCGGGAACAACTTGTGTGGGAAGAGTTTGCGCCTGACATGGGCATGGTCTGCTGGTGATAAACCACCGTGTCCTCGTACAAGGCTGAGTGCAAGAAACTCGGCATACTTTGCGCCACGTAGGTGTTGGCATACATATGTTGATGGCTTTGGTGGTGGGGGAGTGTCCGCGGGCTCAGCAAGGCAACCTTCAGTTTTGGGCTGAATGCGGAGGAAGGCAGTGACAGAGGGATGCTAAATGCACAAGATTAACACAACTGCGAATAACCAATAATATTACTTACAATTTTCACTTTCTTGGTTTGATAGAGAGACATCTGCTGGATTTTTGAAGGCGGTAGTGGCTGTGATGTTGCACCTACATAGCCAGTAAGCTTGTTAGACTGTTGTAGCTGGTTGCAAACGTAGACACGGACATTAGATTCTACACCACTCCAAAATATAATGAAAAATGAAGATTAGTTACACACCTTCTTTACTGAAGGGTCTGCGGGATTGTGGGCACATTTGTTCTTGTATCCAGTGATATTGCGGCAGGAGTCGCAATGCTTCTCCCAGGGCTTTATTGCATAGTCTGTTTGGGCATTGAGCTGGATGGTTCTCTCACATCCTGCGCACACAACTGTGAGCGACTCCTAAGGCACGAGCCCCAGAAACCAACAACACTCGAGAACCGACGACCGGGTAGACATCGAAGCCCTGTACAGGACGACGATGAGAGGGAAAGGGTGGAGGTGACTGCTTGCTGACGTGGCAAGACTAGGCGAGAGGATGTTTAGGAGGTATTCCCACAAGAACTCACTTGGAGTTCGTGGGCTGACATTGCTCAGGTTATATACAAGTGCATGGTGTTTGGTTGAGCCAAACAGTCTACCTACTATGGTAATGACAGTGTGCGCACAGACCATGCTGTGCGGAGTACTACTACTTATGGTTAATGAATGACGTATGTATGATGTCAGTCATGACGCGTATTTGACGTCATCATGATGTCATATGGAATGTCCGGGAATCTTAGAGAATGATTATGTAAGACGGTAATGTAAAGTATCCGAGCCAGGTCATGTGACTGGTTATGGAAGTAGCCGGTCACGTGACCTATTGCACCAAGAAGTGAAGCTACGACTTCAACGACGATGCGTGAAATGTAAGTAAATGTGAGTGTTCATGACTGGTCATGCTGTCGTGAGTGATCGCGACACTACCCCCCGTTTAGGCTCCAATGTCCTCATTGACAAATTTGTTGAGCCGCGAGTGGAGTTCAGGCTCTGCCTCTGTGTCGTTTTCTCTAGGTTTAAATAGCGAGTTGAATAACTTAGGGTCGATCCCCTGCAACCTCCGCGGAGCTGAGGATCTTCTATGTTGGAAGTCCTTTAAATTAGCTTGAGCATTAGATAGGTTAGAGACTGGCTCCCATGTCCGTGCATCTTCATTGTAGCCCTTCCAGTGGACTAGATATTCTAATTTGCGCCCGCGTAGTCTAGAGTCTACGATCTTCTCGACTTCGTATTCCGCGTGTCCTTCCTCATTGACTTCGGTAGAACCCGGATGATCGGTGCGTTGTTCGTTGAGTCGATCAATAAATGGTTTGATGCGGCTTACATTCACTACCGGGTGACAGCGCATATGAGACGGAAGCCGCAGTTCCACTGCATTTGATCCCATTAATTTAGTTATGGAGTAGGGACCAAGCCAGCGTTCTGCTAATTTTCTTGATGGTCTGTCTACAAGATTGAGATTGGATGAAGATAGCCAGACTTCATCTCCGATCTTGTATTCAGGTGCATCACTTCTTTTCTTGTCTGCAGATTGTTTCATCTTCTCCTTGGTCCGCTCCAAGGCCTTCCTCGTGACTTCTAGGGTCTGTTCCATTTCTGCTTTTGTCTTAGACACCGCTTCGACCTTCCCTTCAAGGGGTTCTACTCCCATTCTAGGCGCATAACTTTTAGTAACCTCAAACGGCGATTGCCCAGTCGCTGAGGTTCTATTGTTGTTGTGTGCAAATTGCGCCAGCACTAGCCAATCTGCCCACGTGGATTGAGAGTCTGAACAATACATGCGAAGGTATTTTTCCAACTCCTGGTTGACTCGTTCTGTCTGACCATTCGTCTGTGGGTGATAGGCTGTGGAATAATTATTTTTGATGCCCAGCACCTTCGCAAGTTCTCGTGAGAATTCACTTGCGAACTGAGGACCTCTATCTGACACTACTGTTTCGGGTAGGCTGTGGTCCTTCCAAATATGGTCTCTGTAAAGACGGGATAGTTCTATCAAAGAAACTTTGTCTGTGGTGGGTATAAATACCGCTTCCTTGCTAAATTGGTCGACGACAACCAATATCACGGTGTACCCTCGCAATTTTGGTAACCCTGTGATGAAGTCGGCCGAGATATCCTTCCAAGGGCCTGTGGGTGTAGGCAGCGGCTGCAGCTTGCCCACCAGTGCCTTACCCGTGCCCTTGTTTCTTCCACACCTTTGACACACTCTGACGTACTCCTGTACCGTGTCCTTCATATCCTTCCACCAATAATTACGCTGTAATAGTTCCAGCGTGCATTCTACTCCAGGGTGACCTGCGCCTGGGTTATCATGATGCATATCTAGCAACTGCATGTGTAGCATATGATCATGCAGGATATGCAGGCCGGGCCTTCAAGGATGTCCGGTCAGCGGATGGGTCAAAACCCCAAGGATGTCAGGGCAGCGGTGACCGGCGGTTGACTGACCATGTCCTGGCGGCCGCCTCACTGTAGGGGTTGGGTGACTGGTAGGAGATGCTCCGGCCCATACCCCAGGTGTGTGTCAGGGCAGCGGCCTGCCTTGTGCATTTAGAATGTCAATCATAGTCCAGTGTTTTTAGCTATAATGCTCCAGTTATTGCAGCTACAGTGCTCCAATTATTGGAGGTATAATGGTCTGAGTGTTGCAGGTACAAATACAATGCTCTGGCCATTGCAGGCATAATGCTCTGGCCATTGTGGCTACAACACTCCGGTTATTGAAGCCATCCTGCTCCGGTTATTGTAGCTACAATGCTCCGGTTATTTTAGCTACAATACTCT